CGCTTTCACCTGTCAAGATGTATACTACTTGTAGACATGGACACTACCTATGCCGTGAGGAAGTGAAAAAGGGTTCTATGCCGTACGATGCATGGTGCAATCTCTAGCCCTCAGGGGTTCAAGAGACTTGCAGTGTGAAGCCAGCCGGCAGTCCTTGCCGATTGCAAGGGTGTCGGGCTGAGGATCTCTACGTTGCAGATTTGCATGTTGGAGAAACACATGTCAGAGTCAGCGAGATGATGCTTCCTGCCCTCCGGGGTTCCGATGGGAAGTCACATGTCAGTTGTTACATGCATGAAAGTGTGTGTTTTAGCAGATTCAGGTTCAGGCCTTCCGATGCTCAAAGTCAAGATGGACTACCCCATATGAGCGGCCAGATGGAGCTATGCTTGGAACTCCGGCCTGCCGACTTTGGCACTTCGAATCGCGGTGCATGTTCCGAGGATGTGGTTGGCCTTGGCTGGAGCGACCAGGCTTTTCAGGTGTTCGAGGACAACTTGGGCGATTGCTCAAAGATAGCAAGCCTTCTTCCGAATGAGTGGGTGCGGCCATGTGTTTCCGTTCTTGTGCTCCAAAAGTGGTCACTTCAGGTGTTGAAAACTAGGCTGTAGAGCATAGTTCTTGGAAGTCAGGGCTCAGAGGATTCATTCGGGTACAGCATCCTACGTGGAAAATCTCTCAACCAGCTCGTGAAGGAGCTCGAGATCAGGAACGTGGACTTCAAGGAATGGTGTACAGTTTCCACAAGCTGAAAGGACCCCCACAAGGTGGTGGATGATGGTTACTACCAGGATTCCATGAATTCTGTCTTGCAGACCTCGCTTTCAGCCGTCAAGCTGTATACTACTTGTAGACATGGACACTACCTATGCCGTGAGGAAGTTAAAAAGGGTTCTATGCCGTACGATGCATGGTGCAATCTCTAGCCCTCAGGGGTTCAAGAGACTTGCAGTGTGAAGCCAGCCGGCAGTCCTTGCCGATTGCAAGGGTGTCGGGATGAGGATGTCTATGTGTAGACTTGCATGTTGGAGAAACACATGTCAGAGTCAGCGAGATGATGCTTCCTGCCCTCCGGGGTTCCGATGGGAAGTCACATGTCAGTTGTTGCATGCATGAAAGTGTGTGTTTTAGCAGATTCAGGTTCAGGCCTTCCGATGCTCAAAGTCAAGATGGACTACCCCATATGAGCGGCCAGATGGAGCTATGCTTGGAACTCCGGCCTGCCGACTTTGGCACTTCGAATCGCGGTGCATGTTCCGAGGATGTGGTTGGCCTTGGCTGGAGCGACCAGGCTTTTCAGGTGTTCGAGGACAACTTGGGCGATTGCTCAAAGATAGCAAGCCTTCTTCCGAATGAGTGGGTGCGGCCATGTGGTTCCGTTCTTGTGCCCCAAAAGTGGTCACTTCAGGTGTTGAAAACTAGGCTGTAGAGCACAGTTCTTGGAAGTCAGGGCTCAGAGGATTCATTCGGGTACAGCATCCTACGTGGAGAATCTCTCAACCAGCTCGTGAAGGAGCTCGAGATCGGGAAGGGTGGACTTCAAGGAATGGTGTAAAACTTTCCACAAGCTGAAAGGACCTCCACAAGGTGGTGGATGATGGTTACTACAAGGATTCCATGAATTCTGTCTTGCAGACCTCGCTTTCACCTGTCAAGATGTATACTACTTGTAGACATGGACACTACCTATGCCGTGAGGAAGTGAAAAAGGGTTCTATGCCGTACGATGCATGGTGCAATCTCTAGCCCTCAGGGGTTCAAGAGACTTGCAGTGTGAAGCCAGCCGGCAGTCCTTGCCGATTGCAAGGGTGTCGGGATGAGGATGTCTATGTTGCAGACTTGCATGTTGGCGAAACACATGTCAGAGTCAGCGTGATGATGCTTCCTGCCCTCCGGGGTTCCGATGGGAAGTCACATGTCAGTTGTTACATGCATGAAAGTGTGTGTTTTAGCAGATTCAGGTTCAGGCCTTCCGATGCTCAAAGTCAAGATGGACTACCCCGTATGAGCAGCCAGATGGAGCTATGCTTGGAACTCCGGCCTGCCGACTTTGGCACTTCGAATCGCGGTGCATGTTCCGAGGATGTGGTTGGCCTTGGCTGGAGCGACCAGGCTTTTCAGGTGTTCAAGGACAACTTGGGCGATTGCTCAAAGATAGCAAGCCTTCTTCCGAATGAGTGGGTGCGGCCATGTGTTTCCGTTCTTGTGCCCCAAAAGTGGTCACTTCAGGTGTTGAAAACTAGGCTGTAGAGCATAGTTCTTGGAAGTCAGGGCTCAGAGGATTCATTCGGGTACAGCATCCTACGTGGAAAATCTCTCAACCAGCTCGTGAAGGAGCTCGAGATCAGGAACGTGGACTTCAAGGAATGGTGTACAGTTTCCACAAGCTGAAAGGACCCCCACAAGGTGGTGGATGATGGTTACTACCAGGATTCCATGAATTCTGTCTTGCAGACCTCGCTTTCAGCCGTCAAGCTGTATACTACTTGTAGACATGGACACTACCTATGCCGTGAGGAAGTGAAAAAGGGTTCTATGCCGTACGATGCATGGTGCAATCTCTAGCCCTCAGGGGTTCAAGAGACTTGCAGTGTGAAGACAGCCGGCAGTCCTTGCCGATTGCAAGGGTGTCGGGATGAGGATGTCTATGTGTAGACTTGCATGTTGGAGAAACACATGTCAGAGTCAGCGTGATGATGCTTCCTGCCCTCCGGGGTTCCGATGGGAAGTCACATGTCAGTTGTCACATGCATGAAAGTGTGTGTTTTAGCAGATTCAGGTTCAGGCCTTCCGATGCTCAAAGTCAAGATGGACTACCCCATATGAGCGGCCAGATGGAGCTATGCTTGGAACTCCGGCCTGCCGACTTTGGCACTTCGAATCGCGGTGCATGTTCCGAGGATGTGGTTGGCCTTGGCTGGAGCGACCAGGCTTTTCAGGTGTTCGAGGACAACTTGGGCGATTGCTCAAAGATAGCAAGCCTTCTTCCGAATGAGTGGGTGCGGCCATGTGTTTCCGTTCTTGTGCCCCAAAAGTGGTCACTTCAGGTGTTGAAAACTAGGCTGTAGAGCATAGTTCTTGGAAGTCAGGGCTCAGAGGATTCATTCGGGTACAGCATCCTACGTGGAAAATCTCTCAACCAGCTCGTGAAGGAGCTCGAGATCAGGAACGTGGACTTCAAGGAATGGTGTACAGTTTCCACAAGCTGAAAGGACCCCCACAAGGTGGTGGATGATGGTTACTACCAGGATTCCATGAATTCTGTCTTGCAGACCTCGCTTTCAGCCGTCAAGATGTATACTACTTGTAGACATGGACACTACCTATGCCGTGAGGAAGTGAAAAAGGGTTCTATGCCGTACGATGCATGGTGCAATCTCTCGCCCTCAGGGGTTCAAGAGACGTGCAGTGTGAAGACAGCCGGCAGTCCTTGCCGATTGCAAGGGTGTCGGGCTGAGGATGTCTATGTGTAGACTTGCATGTTGGAGAAACACATGTCAGAGTCAGCGTGATGATGCTTCCTGCCCTCCGGGGTTCCGATGGGAAGTCACATGTCAGTTGTTACATGCATGAAAGTGTGTGTTTTAGCAGATTCAGGTTCAGGCCTTCCGATGCTCAAAGTCAAGATGGACTACCCCATATGAGCGGCCAGATGGAGCTATGCTTGGAACTCCGGCCTGCCGACTTTGGCACTTCGAATCGCGGTGCATGTTCCGAGGATGTGGTTGGCCTTGGCTGGAGCGACCAGGCTTTTCAGGTGTTCGAGGACAACTTGGGCGATTGCTCAAAGATAGCAAGCCTTCTTCCGAATGAGTGGGTGCGGCCATGTGTTTCCATTCTTGTGCCCCAAAAGTGGTCACTTCAGGTGTTGAAAACTAGGCTGTAGAGCATAGTTCTTGGAAGTCAGGGCTCAGAGGATTCATTCGGGTACGGTGCATGTTCTGAGCATGTAATTGGCCTTGGCTGGAGCGACCAGGCTTTTCAGGTGTTCGAGGACACCTTGGGCGATTACTCAAAGATAGCAAGCCTTCTTCCGAATGAGTGGGTGCGGCCATGTGTTTCCGTTCTTGTGCCCCAAAAGTGGTCACTTCAGGTGTTGAAAACTAGGCTGTAGAGCAGTTCTTGGAAGTCAGGGCTCAGAGGATTCATTCGGGTACGGTGCATGTTCTGAGCATGTAATTGGCCTTGGCTGGAGCGACCAGGCTTTTCAGGTGTTCGAGGACAACTTGGGCGATTACTCAAAGATAGCAAGCCTTCTTCCGAATGAGTGGGTGCGGCCATGTGTTTCCGTTTTTGTGCCCCAAAAGTGGTCATATATTAATATGTATATTTGTATATATATATATTAATATGTATATATATATATGCATATATATATATATATGTATATATATAAATAGATGTATATTTGAATACAACATTATTCATGGCATATATGCAAGGGAAACGCTGGATTTGATGCTGCCGCCCCTGCCGCCGACCCTGGAAGGATCATAATACCGGGAATATTTTGATATGCACTATATATACCCCTGGGTATATATATAATATAATGATATATATATATATATACATACATATACATCATTTACTATGTATATGTATATATTATAATATACGTATATAGATACGTATATATGATCACAGATATACGTCTAAGTGCCTATATGTCATGTATATACATGATATAGCTATACTATGCATGTCCGTACAAATGTATGTATATTGCTGTAGAAACATGATATGTCCACTGTTCACCTTGCACATATATAGTTGTTCCTGCAGAGGGTGCTTTCAAAGATTGACCACGACTGGGTCATAAACATTTATACTTGGTCCGGATCCCCAGTCTGCTAAGCCGGAATGTAAGTTGGTTGGGGTAGTTGGGGACCCTCCTTGAAGGGAATGATAGAGAATCAGGGACGGCAAAACATGTTGTGATATGGTTCAGTTTTTTTTCTCTGAGCCTGCTGATTTTTACTTGCAGTGACGGGAAGGCTGCTGTGGACACCAGGCTGTTCAAGAATTCGAACACCCGAACTCGAACTGTAGCTTTTGGGGCACTTTTAGAACATGAGTGAAATATAGGGCGGCTTGAATGGATTTAATAACCAGTGATAAAGGGGACACGGCGGGAACAAGGCTTCGGCGAGGGCACCCAGGAACCAAATGTCACATGCATGCTGCAGAATGGTTCAAGTTTCAAGCTCAGTTTGGCAACCGCAGCCGTTTCTGGGCCTCAATTTGTGCTGAGCAGCTGTTGATTGACTTGAACAGCGGCTACATCTCACCCCGAAGGAGCGCTATCATTTTGAGCCGGGTGGAGTTTTTTATTACACAGGTCGAACGAGGCCTGTACACTTTGGGCAAGAAGCGCCATCATTTTGAGCCGAGCGGAATTTTGCTTCGGCGGGTCAAATGAGGCCTGCACACTTGGTGTGGCAGAATTTCAACACAGTGGCATTTGCGCCAACAGTCGGAAGGATTGCTGAGCTTTTCTGTCTCATGTGGCGACAAGTGCTGCTCTTTGAGACGGCCGGTTCCCGCCACCCACGCGGGGAGTGTTGCAGTGCAGTCATTACTGTATGATTTCTCTTGATTCGTGCGAAGAAAGAAACGATGGCAACATCTCTCAAACGATTTTTTTCATGTTTGGACAGTTGAGGACTTCATCACCTTGTCTGTCATTCACTGACCCCCTTTTCTTTCAGGTGCCTTTTAGTTATCCCACTGTTCAAGTGTTGCCGAACATGCCTTTGTTTTGATCCAGTGAAATTTGGTCAGCAATGTGTGTAAACAGCACCATGCGATGTGTGTAAGTGTAAACAGCACCATGCGATTTGGGGGAATTTCACCGAAGCATGTGCTCAGGTGGCGCGTCGTGATGTGGACTTCTTCTTCGACCTGTTGGGCAGGCCAGTTGAGAATTGACATCCCAAAATGATCCCCGCCGGGAAACGGCTGGTCAATGCATGGTAACCCAGCACACCTTCCAAATATATTGGGGACAAGCGCTCCATATGACAGAAAGGTCAAAACAAACTTCAAGGGTCATCTCGGGAGATTTGTGGCAAGTTGCTCGCGCTGCCGGGATTTTTTGACACGCTGAGATGGGGTGCATCTTGCAGGATGCGAAAAAATTGAAACCCTCTAAAGTTGCTGAGATACAACATGTCATCTGGGACATCCAAGAAGCGGAGACCGAAATAGACCAAAGATGTAAGCTGAAACTCCCGCCTCATCACCGCTCCATGCTCACCAAAAAAAACCATCGCTGCCACTGCATGGCAGGTCTGCTCTTACATGCCCGGCCTCAACGCTTGCGTGCACAGCACATCTGACAACAGACACAGATGGATGTTGTCATTCCGGCAGGCGCACCTGTCAGACTCAAGTGCTGCAAGTGCGTACTTGAAACATGTCCAACCGCACGGAAAGGCATAATGAGGCATACTGTAACAGCGACTTTCTGGATTTGGGATCAAAGGACCTCGATACCTTGCGCCACATGTGACAACGCGCATGAACACCTCAGCTCCAAGTGCAACACCAGCTGCGCACTGGGCGCAGCTGGGGCGTTTGCAGGGAGTGCCCTCCGGGGTCCTGTGTGGAGGTGTTACACAGCCATGAGTTTTTGCAGACATCATTGACATCATTTCATTTCTGAGCCTATGAGGGTTACTCAGTAACTCTGGCTCAGAGACTTTCATCAGGCACATATGTCAATACGTCACCTACAACTGACATGCCTAAACACCTCCTCAGCTCCTAGTGCATCTCCAGCGTCGTGGCTGTGTTGTATGCAGGGAGTGCCCTCCGGGGTCCTGTGGGGAAGGTGAGGGTCATGAGTTTAGGCATCTAAGGTCTCCTGGATTGCGCTTCGCCGCGAAGCTGTTGTCACTGTTCTCTTCTGTCTCTGTCATCGCGCTTCCAGGTACTGCACCTTGAGCGCATGAAGCGAATTTATGCTCAGAGGTTGTGCAAACACATAGAAACTTGTGCTTCTTAAACATATTCAAAGCGAGTGCCCAATGGAGAGGCAATAGTTGAGCTGCATCACCCACGTCACGAAGACCACAAGAACAACAGTACCAGGACTGCAAACTCAAAAAAATAACCTGGTTTGCAAGTGCTACTTGGTGTGCTGCATGGTAGACACTTTGGCATGAAATGCCATTGAAGCCACACAGACCTCAGTTGTGAGAAACTTTGGTCGTTCCAAGTTCTCAGCACATCACTGCAAGCAGTGTAGAAGGACCGTGTTAAGCGCATGGCATTTCAGTGAGCTCCGCGGGCCAGGACAAGTTGTCAGTCTCTAGCTGCAACTCCAGCTATCTCAGCCGGTCTCAGCCCTCCGGGGCACTGCTTTTATAGCAATCACCAAACGTGAAAACCTGTGATGGTTTACCACTGGGCTGGACTCTGAAAAAACCATGGACGACCCAGAGCGGCTTCACGAAGGCCAGGAACATGGAGGACAAGACCTGGATGATTTCATGGCCTTTCCGTGCATGGGGTGATGGCTTGATGGGAAATGGCTGTGAATGCCTGTGGTTGACGGCAACTGTGGTCTTTGATGCTACAGCATTCTGGCAAAATACATTGTGTGCATGATTAGATGCAATCCTGGTGGAATGCAATCCTGGTCGGATGCAATCCTGGTCAGATGCAATCCTGGTGAAATGCAATCCTGGTCGGATGCAATCCTGGTCAGATGCAATCCTGGTGGAATGCAATCCTGGTCGGATGCAATCCTGGTCAGATGCAATCCTGGTGGAATGCAATCCTGGTCGGATGCAATCCTGGTCAGATGCAATCCTGGTGGAATGCAACCCTGGTCGGATGCAATCCTGGTCAGATGCAATCCTGGTGGAATGCAATCCTGGTCGGATGCAATCCTGGTCCGATGCAATCCTGGTCCGATGCAATCCTGGTCGGATGCAATCCTGGTCGGATGCAATCCTTGTCGGTTGCAAGTCTGGTTAGATGCTATCCTGGTCGGATGCAAGTCTGAATAGATGCTATCCTGGTCGGATGCAAGTCTGGTTAGATGCAATCCTGCTCGGATGCAATCCTGGTCGGATGCAAGTCTGGTTAGATGCAATCCTGCTCGGATGCAATCCTGGTCGGTTGCAAGTCTGAATAGATGCTATCCTGGTCGGATGCAAGTCTTGTTAGATGCAATCCTGCTCGGATGCAATCCTGGTGGGATGCAAGTCTGGTTAGATGCAATCCTGCTCGGATGCAATCCTGGTCGGTTGCAAGTCTGAATAGATGCTATCCTGGTCGGATGCAAGTCTGGTTAGATGCAATCCTGCTCGGATGCAATCCTGGTCGGTTGCAAGTCTGAATAGATGCTATCCTGGTCGGATGCAATCCTGGTTGGATTCAATCCATTTCCAAGAAGACCAACATTAGAGCCCCAACTTGCTTGATTCAGGTGTTTGGCTCTGCCCTCCGGGGTACTCTCTTGAAGGAATGGAAGAGTCAAATCTTGTTGTGACAGCATACAGGATCACTGGAAACTTTGGATCGCATTGTTTCCCGCAGACTGCACCCTTCAAATTGTGAAATTGAACACCTGAGTCTTGCGCACTTCCGCACGATGCCAACTCTATCGAGCAGACGTGCTCGAATTCATCACGCAGAGGAGCACATGGACCAGAGCGGCGTCACCAAGAAGGACAAGAAGAACGTGGACGGCAAGGAGGACTGTCTGATGGTAGTCTTGTGTTGGTGCCACTGGTGGCTTATGACTTATGAGGTTGCCTTTTGGACACGCATGTCTTGGGGCTAATTGAACAGCCGATCTTTTGATGATACAGCATCTAACATCAGATGTGTTGGATGGATAGCTTCCAGTTGAAAGTGCGGCTTCGCGTGTGGCGACCCGTATCCCTGCCCTCCGGGGTTCCGTTTGGGACACATGCAAGGGGCGCGATGCGTGAGCGTGCGCGGCACTTCCCGATGCCACATACCAGAACCTTTGCAACTCAGAAGCAAAACTAGGGTTGTAAGGACACAGGAATCTGAATTTGCTTCAGCAGCAGGAACCTAGTTCGACGCTTCAACAATTACTGATTACTGTACACAGTAAACTTGAAACCTTTTAAACCCCTGGAGCATAGAAGGCTTGAGGCATTCATCATGGCAGAGCTGCCCTTTGAAAAAATGGTAGTTGCCGCTACAGCGCATCAATTTTGGAAAGTTGCCACTGTAACGCATCAATTTTGGAAACCTTCGGAAACCAAACTTTCAACTTGGTTTAGAAAACTACGGTAGCTACCTTGGTCCCTGAACTTGACAAGAACCAGCCCAGTGGCCGCGTGGCTATGCTCTGTGTGTGTGTGGGGGGCCCCGGGCAACGCACAATTTCACTGTGCAAGCAAACATATCAGCATCTCCAATGGAAGGTGTGGTGTTTGCACCTAATGCAACATGAACAAAGAAAGAGGTTGCTTTATCCCTGCCTATAGGGGCCCTCCTATGAAACAGTACCAGGAGTGAACATATAAAATTGCTACCAGCTACACTTTTCCGGGCATTCCAGCCTCTGAGTCTGATGTGCGAAGGAGTTGTTCCATGCCTTCAAAGCTGCGTTCCACTACCGGATTTTTCTTCTATGCAGACTATGTGGGTCAGACGGCATCACAAACAAGGCCAACAAGGACAGCATTGAGATGGATAGCAATGGATGCAGCATGATGGTTTTCTGGCAAGGGCTGGCCTTGGGTTTGGGCGACGCCATTGACCAGAGTGACACACACATCACAAGCAACGACGTGGAGGACATGGAGGACAACGCCTGGCTATGCCACAGGCATTGCTTTGGGGCAATATCGTTTGCTGGTAACAATGGGATCCCTTTGCCTTCAGCACACCTGGAAACATTGCCCTTGTGCATGAGACGCGGGGGGAAGCCGGTGTCCAATCTTTGCCCTCAGGGTGCCTTGCCTTGAAGGTTCTTGAAGAAACGCTAAAGGAGAACTTGGAACATCGCACTGATTCTTTACCTACTTCAAAAATGGTCACATGCGCTTATTTGCGCAGACGGCTTTCCGGGCGCAGCCTGTCTAAAGCTGTAAGAATCATCATGCATCTCCCGCTGTCCACCCGCGGACCGTTGCAGAGATGGACCTGAACCTTGCCATCAAAAACGCAGACAAGCAGGACACGCAAGACAACCAGGACAACGGCAACTGACATTACCAGGTCCTGTCATGCAAAGGTGGCTATAATGTCACGTAGCTGCTTGTGTATTTCACCCACTGATTTACCCTGAGCATGAATTTGTTTGGAGGTCATTGGCAAGATGGTTTCAGAACAATGTCGGAATAATGTCTAGAAGGGGTAGCGATGCCCACAAAATTTGCTCAGCAACGAAAAAACCAGAGAGATGGTCAGAGGCCGGTGAAGCGACGCGGAAGTTTGGTGTGGCGAGAGTGCCTTCGCTTCTCGGCTTGCAAACGCAGCTGGTTTGCAAGAGCAGGTGTTGCTTTGAATGGCTTGCGACGATCAGCAAGTGGTTGGCTTGCCGCAAAGCAATGTGCATCCGCTTCGGCAAGCATTATGGCAAACTCAGGCAACATCAAAGTGATGGAGTTGCATGTCTTTTTTTCGTGATTCGATGAATCGTAAGTGTTCCACGGCCACGGCTGTTTCC